TAGATATATATATTATAATAAACCCGAGGATTTCAGCTCTTCACCTACAACTGAGTACGTAGTAAGATGAGAAGACTTGAAATAACAGCGAACAAAACTCTTGCTTATCGGTTATACAAAATAAAAACCAGAGCGAGAGCTCAGAAAATTTCCCCGAAAGAAAATACCCCAAATCTTTTGGAAATTTGAAGGTAAACTTTCCAGATGCATTATCTGGAAATTTTACCAAATGAAATGGAAATATATTGCAAAAAACTAACTGTAGCAAATGAAAAAATCAGCGCTATATAAAAATCTGGTATTTTCAAAAATATAAACAAAACCGTGGAATTGATTCGCTATTTTTCACATTCGTCGGGTGTTTTTTGTGTTCGTTTATGTCGCGGTTCAGGACTTACATGACTGACTGTAATCGATGACCTTTTCGGATGATCTTCCCAATTAGAAGCGAACAAACCCATTCACAGCGCTTAAGCAAAAATCACTTGCGAAAAAACTTCAGATATATCTGTCTATGCACCGTCGACTACCACCAATAAGCACCAGATATTAACTAAGGGAATAGACAGCCCTTCACTGCCGTAGAAAACGCCTAGCTCATCCCCTCTCTGCGCTTTAGATCTAGGATTCTTTCGGAAAGTGCTGAAGACACCCATTTTTCCACAATTTCGGACAAACTATTGTTGGGCATTCTAAACTGTGCGATTGTACAACAATGAAGTGCCTTTTTCTAAATAGAAAAGAAACATTTTGTACAAACACGTGGTTTATACTATACCTACTTGAACTTTTCGGCTAGTCGAAAGACGCATTAATTTTTCTGCCAACATTTGTGAAGAAATACAAGTTTGATGACGATCAAATGATTGAAGCATTGAAGCACCAGAAAGGCGTAACGCCCCTAATTACCTGAAAGTTACGCACTTTGCGAAGAAATGGCAAATTTTTGCAACCTCGGTCCATGACCGATCAAGCAGTTAAATGTAAAGTGAGCTTACATATTTACAATTTATTAAGAACATTTTCCACCACTTCTCCAACGATTGAAAACTCAGTCGAATTGAAAGTGATCTAAACTTAACGGCAAACCAAACTCCTCCGGTGCATATAAAATAACATCCAGAACATGATTTCCACGCAAGAACCCAAAATCTCCTGGATACGTGGATGGAAAATTTCGAAGAGAATGCAAAACTTTGCAAAACACCAACCCTTGCAGAAATGAGCGCTAAAACTAAATCTGCATAATGAAAGAATTTCCGACAAGATTAATCAAAGTTGAGGAAAGCGAGTTAAAAACTCGCTAAAACAAAAACCTTTTTAACTTGAAAAGAAGTTTTTGAGAAAAGTGTGCAATTTGCGGCTTTTCTACCCTGATCTATTTGATAGTTGATGTTGATAATAGTTGATGTCCTATTTGATAGCAATTATTCGTTAGTCCCCATCACTACTTACTGTAGTAGAGATCGTTAAGCATTGATACGCAGCATAACGTAAAATATGCATTTTCGTTTGCAAAGCACAAGAATTTCTATTGAACTCTTCTAAATGCGTTTTAGACAAAATAGAGTATAGGGAACACTTGTGTGCTGTCAGCATTTCCCTTTACCGTTTGATTTGCCGACTTGCTTTAATGGGCTCAATAGCATTCTGAAGAATTGCCCACATTTCGGTGCAGCACAAGGCCGAATCCCATTCTTATGCAAATTTTGACCTGCCTGATCTAGGAGAGAACAAACGTCTACAGACAACCCTATCTATGTTTTAGTGTTTAGAAAACCAGCTATGCAAAGTTGAACTCGTCTTTACCCTGCGGTGCATTTCTCAAAGAAGTTGGAAATGCACCATTTTGTGCATCAAAAGGGCAAATGGGTCAGTAACGTATTCAAGTTCTTGCACCGTTTTGCTCCAAGGTTTTACAAGGTTTGGCGAGGTGCCTCTTTCGTAAAATGACCAGAAATTTCCTGAACTTCTTTGTTAACTGCTTTCTGCTGCTGGTTGACCCCTACCAAATAAACAGTTATGATTAGCCTATGCGAAAATTTCTGGGCATTTGAGAATCTTCCCGATCTCATTCAAACATTGTTCGCAGGCAACAGTATTCAACTCAAACAAAAGTTTTGGGTCTGAAACTGCAAGGGAAATATTTGCAAGTACCTACTTGATGAGAACAAGTGTTACAATGGATTTTGCTTAAAAGGCTGGGATTTATTGCATTGCTAATATGAGGAAATGTGACATTTTTTACACACAATGGACTTTTAATGGGTTTTTGACCCATTTGTAAAGCCAAACTGGTATTATTAGTTGGCCCAAAAACTACAACACTACAAACTATTGCAAAAAGATATAAAATGTCAGAAAATTATTATTGCATCACACAACAATTAAAAGTTCTGGAAGTTTTTCGGTAACTCGGTAATTTCATCAAAGTATGAGTCGCCCAAATGAGCAAATTCCTAGCGAGTTCTATTAAAATCAATGGTTCAATGGTCATTAATAGCAAAGGAGCCAGATATTGAATTTGTTAATTTATAAATTCGTCCTAATTGGGAAATTTGGGTTTAAGCTAGATGTACACCCATATCCAAAATGTTAAACTTCTTTATTTTCCAACGTTTCGGCAGTGCTCTGCTGCCTTCCCCAGGGTTATAGATACTGTAACGAAAATGAGAATGCAAAATCTATCTCTAACAGACCTATTATTCTTGAAAAGCATTTTGTTGCAAGAATTATTACAAACTCCTAATATTTATACCACGGTTAAAAACCATTAAAGAGCAGAGATTTCACTTAGTTATAAAGTTTTTTTTTGGTAAAAGTTAGGTCAGATCGTCTCCATTTGAGCCAAGCAACGTCGCAGTACCCTTTTTATCCTGCGTTTACCGGACAGCTTGTAAATACATTTAATCCTTTTTTCATTTTTTTAAATGTCGCCTTAATCGAAATAAAATACCTTCTTATATCTGTTTGGTATTTGAGGTCTTCGCGCCCTTCACTTTCGCCAAAATTAAAAATCGAAGGTATTAAGATCTGGCCGTCGATTGAAAGAGTATACTTATAGCAGGTTAGTCGATGGGCCACAAATTCTTAATTTTCAACGTTAATTTCCTGGTGGTTAGTAGCGAACGTTCAGAGCTTTCTTGTAGTTTTTTGCCATCCGGACTAACATTCCTTTCTCTTGCCCAACTGTTATCATTTTGATGATAATCGATATTGAAAATTAGTGTTATATTGAAAAAGACAATAC